ATTAAAGGACGAAATAAAGAAAAAAAAATACCTGGATACAGGATTGATTAGATGGAAGTCAATATTTGCACGCATTTATCCAATATCTGGATAGTCTGGTCTTTCATGAACCTAATCAACTTTACTAAATACAGTAGAGTTGTAATGAAATCTTTCAAATATTTCTATCATTAGCTTAATTTTTGCATGTTGTATTTATTTATATACATTTAAATTAATCATCATTAATTTCCTATTAAAACGTTTTAAGTGACAATAATACATATTTTTCGACTCCTTGTATAACAGGAACGATAAATTTAATTAATTACAATGTACAAATTAAAGTTGGGGGTTATGTTATTGTCTTCGGTTTAATTAGAATAATTATTTGGAATATCTAATCGTGTATTAATTGAATGAATTAGAAAAAAAAAAAGATTTAATTGTGCTTCAAATATTAATAGGATTAATTAGAGGTTCATGGAATTAAAAAAAAAAAAACGAAATTTCAATTTGTTCATTAAGAAAATTATCATTTTTTTCATTCTTAATAAATGATTGTTTAAAAAATTGATAAATTATAATTTAATTATTAAAGGATTTTTTTAAAAATCTAATGGCATCGACATTATGTGATGATTTAAAGCACAATCCTTGCCACAACTGTTTAGGTTATNTTTAATTGTGCTTCAAATATTAATAGGATTAATTAGAGGTTCATGGAATTAAAAAAAAAAAAACGAAATTTCAATTTGTTCATTAAGAAAATTATCATTTTTTTCATTCTTAATAAATGATTGTTTAAAAAATTGATAAATTATAATTTAATTATTAAAGGATTTTTTTAAAAATCTAATGGCATCGACATTATGTGATGATTTAAAGCACAATCCTTGCCACAACTGTTTAGGTTATATTTATGTGTATATACAGACAGACGGGCTAGTAATTAGAACATATCAATTTATTGTAGCGTTAGAAGTGACCAGGGAGAAACAAAACTAACATTGAAGCGCTAAACTCAAGACGATTATTAGTTTATGTTGTTAGTCAGAAAGTATTATCATCCAACCACCCATGAAAACCTTTCGTATCTTCCAGGCATATTTCCTAGTAAAAGAATGAAGGAGAAAGAAATAAAGGTTTCTTTGCAAGTTATCACGTCTTAGTGTCTATACCCCGAAGCTGTTTGCCAAACTTTGTTGCCAATAAGCAAACCTACAAATAGATCTCATTCTCATGCCGATGAATATGATAATTTCCACATAAAGAAATGGTTTAAAAAAAAGCAATAATTTTAATAAATATTAGTATAAAGTAAAGAGAGAATATCTCTAGCTTAGCTCGTTATACCTGAGATGTAAAGAGAAAAGGATATAAAATGAATAGTTTAACATTAAATTGAAGCAACAAATAAACGACTTGGTGTGTTCTCTTGTCATTTCTCTGTGATAATTTCATTTTACTGCGCTGCATCTATCCCAAATCGATTCTCTTCATCACTAACTTTATTGATCAAAAAAACACGAATAAGAAAATAAATATGCAACATTTGAGACAAGTCGATAAAAAAAATATAGCCTATATATATGTATAAAATAAAGGAAAAAAAATATTGCCTTGATCACACATAAATATCTAAAAACGTTATACATTCCTCTTCTTAGCTTAATGGGGCCATTAAATTAGAAAGAAGATAGGTAAGCCGGGATTATGTTTCTCTTATATCTAAAGAGTATCCAGATAGTAAATGGTTTGAAAGGTTTATATTCCTCTTGTTGTCGTCACCAAAATAAATTTGACATCCAAGTCATTCAACTGGGATTACCAACTGTCTTTGTTTGTCGATATTCTTATGCATGAAGTTTATTTTAAACACGTTTATCTACCCAAACGTTCATACAATTTAGGAATATTTAAGAATTGTATATAGATAAAGGCTAGAAGAAGATACGTAAGAGAGAGAGAGGAAAAAAAAAGGAGAGAAATCAAGGCAATTGTTCTGCGCTGAAATGAAAAATATGAGCGATATGAAAAAATGAAAAATATGATATTAAAATTCATCCGGTACTCAAAAGTCTTCTTGTGAAGAGCCCTTATGTGGTATTCTCATATACATATCATAAATAATAATTTTCCAACCTTTATCTTGCTGAACAGATTGTGATTTTTTTTATATATAAAAAAGAAAATCAATAGAAGTAAAATAAATAGTATGTATATTATCATTTTTTGAGTTTTTATCGATCGATATTATGTGCTTCATCCGACAAATATCCTACTTACAAATCCTCGACGATGAGACTAACATACGATAAACAACCTGTAAAATCTTATAAAATTTTCATTATTAAATAGCAGTTCACGTAATAACGCTTAACATTATTACAATTTACGTTGACAAGGTAACACGCATAAGTTACAATTACTACGTAACACTATATACAGTATTTTCTTATTATGACGTAACGATAAGATTAATCTCGTATTACGTAATAATAAGAACGAATTGACGACGTCGGTTGACAACAATTTATTCTTATTATTATTATTACGTCAAATAATTTAATTACCGAAGAGTCAAAAGGTTAATAAAAATTTTTAAAATTATCTTCTTTTTTTATCTTAATCTTTATAAATGGCTTAAACTTTGTTATCTTAAACCTTGTTTAATTTAAAAATTTCTCGAATGGATTTCGAAGCAATTATATAAGTAAAATTTGTAATATTTGTAAAATTGATAAACAAGATAAATAAAGAGTTTAGATCAAGTAATAATCCTTGGAATAATAATTTCATTTCAATGCAATCCTGTTGGGGAAGTAATTACGTAGAGAAAAATAATGAGTCTTTTGATCATAAGATTTGAATGAAAACTCGTCGATAATGGAAAGATAATGAAACGAATGAGATGAATGCTAATCTTCTCGAAACGTTTACAAATTGAGATTTCAATTTATCAAAATGACTAAATTAACCTGTATAAGAGAATGAATTAGCGAAATGTACTACAAAATTTTAATTATTTTCTATATAATTTTTCAACGAAAATAAAATTTTGTTAATAATTTTTATCATTTTATAAGCTTATATATATATATATATTAAAATACAATTGATTGAGTGCTATTCTAAGCTTTTCACAATTGTTTACTTAACCTACGAGACCTTCTTAAATAAACGTTGCAAACGATTTAAGACTTCTATCCTTTCATAAAAATGATAGAAAAAGAAAAAAGAAGAAGAAAAATCTTACAACTCTTGGGAAGAAAGGACTCTAGGGACTTTTTATGAAACTTCTAACAAATCAAAAATCCCTGGATTTGATATAATATCTTGATCTCTTTCTAGGACTTAGTAATCTTTCTGATCCTCTCTAACATTGTAAGGATTCTCGGATCCTTTAGTGGATTTCTGATCTTCTAGAATAATATTGATCTCTGCCAGCTTTTAATAATTCTCTTTCGGTTATGTTACAAGTAAATACTTCGTGATTACATATTTTATATATATATATATATATATAATAATAATAATAAAGGATAAACGGCACAACATCTTTTCGTTCCCTACACATAATAAGGCTTTAAAGTAGGGAAATTATGGAAAAAAATTAATTATAAACGTTTAAAAAATAAAGTATCACGTGTAATTAGTTATTATTTAGTCTTTATAAGCATAATTATTTCAGAAAAATAAGTTATCTTATTGCTTTCATTTTTACAATCCGCTTTGATCTTCTTTCTTAAAGAAAACAAAATAAAAAAAATAAAAGAGAAAAAACTTTTTTTTTCCTTGAGAACCGATATATTAAAGAAAGAAAAGACTGCAATATTGCTGTATATGGGATTACTGATGTCATTCAACTGAAGCTGTTTGTTGAAGACGAGATACAAGAAACTGGTCATGGCTTCTTTGTTGATCTAACCGCTGAACAAGCTACATTGAAATTGTCCTTTAAATTCTTCAATTATATATGGCAACATATTAAACAGTTTACTTTCAGATATTTAAAATTACTTTTTTCTTTTTTCTTTTTAATCTCTCTTTTCTTTATATTAAATAAATATATAAGCGAAATAAAGTATGTTGCAGGTGCATTCGCACTTTAACATTCTTTTTTCGTAGATTAAAAAGAAAATAATAATAATAAAGTATTTTCTTCTATTTTATCTAAACTTATTTTAGCTGATCCGATTTGTGCCACTTCCATTTTGATTTATGGTTATCCTATACATTTTAAGAAGTTCCTTTTTCCTCTATATCGAATTGATTTTTATTAACAATGTGTTCTGCTTAAAGATTTTTCCAATTCCTCTTTTGTGCAAAGAGTCTATACCGTCACATTCAATTTTCTCTTCCAATTCGAAATTTTAGCTACAACTATAATTGCTTTACGCCACTTTCCTTCCTATGACTGTCAAATTGTACCAAGAATATATATTTTTAACTTTTACTTCCCTCTCTCTATATATAAATTCTCTTCTTTTTTTTCCTTCTTCTTCTAATCTTCCTCTGAGAGAAATCATGAAACATTCATAGCAGTACCTTGTTAGTAAATTTAAAAAGTACATATATATATATATTTAAAATTGTAAAATAAAAAAGTGATAAGGAAAATCAGAGGGAAAAAAATCGTTTTTATAATTGTAAATCACCTTAAATTTACAAAAATATAGTAAATAAAATTGTGATATATTCCTATTCCATTCTAAATTGATAAAAGGAGGAAAAAAACTTAAATATTTTACAGGTTATACTTTACTAATCTTCTTGCTAATAAATACAGAAATTTTAAGCTTATATTTTAACAAATTAATTTATAATAAAACGAAAAATAAATGGAAATAAGAATAAAGTTGTGTATGATTTTCGAATAAGTTACAAATAATTAAACAATGAAAGAATTAATTAAGTAAAAATTAAATCAACTTGACTAATTCTTCGATATAATTTGTGAGTATTTTACAAATTCAAAAGCAGTGTATTTAAAATAAATAATATAAATTTAATAGGGAATGATTTGGAAACGTGGAATCACTTCATTAGCTAGCGAACAGCCTATAGTAAACAGTTTAAATCAACCAGAAATATCCAAAAGCATCATAACCAGGGCTAGTAAAGATATCAACAAAGTAATCCAAGCAATCTTTTCACAGATATTAATAATAAGCAGACTATATCATTGAATTTCATCGCTAATAAACCGAAAACTATAAGTATATGCAAATCATGGAAGCAGCCGTTGGTTTGTACTGCATAATCCAAAACACCTGCTTGAGTGGAGATGTGGAAAGGAATAGTATTAGCAGCCAGTTTATCACTAGACAACTCTAATTTCAGCCAGTCGTAAACAGCCACAATATGGTGACACATGAATGGTAATGTAGACTCCAACACCTCTAACAGCTGGCTGAGGTAAGATATTGATATAAGTGAAACAAAATGAGATATTTTCTCTTTAACTGCTTGTAATTAGACATTTCATGTGTTGATCGAACTGAAAGATGTTACTTTCCAGGTGTAAATTTTAATATTGTCATAAAACAGCATAAATTCCTTCAAATATTTGTAAATTCTGGACTACACTCGACCGAATTATCCGAATAATTGTCTACTTTTGGTAATAAAATATGTTTCCAAATTAATATTGTTTGTAATAATGTGTAATTAGTATAAATAGTTTGATAAGATATTCGAGTGTGGGTTTAATGCGTTTTGTTTCTATGCTGTAAACAGATTAATGATTGTAAATTTCTATACAATCGAAAGATATTATCGCATTATATATATATATTGATAAATTCATAAATTTTAAAACCCGCTGAAACTATGTTAATAAAATTTCCAAGTGTATCAAACTTACAAAAATTCCAACTTTCTACTTTATGTACAGACAGAAGAACTATTCGAAATAAATGAATATAATTCAGCAAGCTGCAGTATGTAATATAAAAATCTGTATGCAAATCTTCGACTAGAACTCTCAGAAAAATCAGAATAAATACATAGAAAAGTATAGAGCAGTATCAAATTATAAAATAAAAAAACTACAAATGTGATATTGAAAACAAAAAAGGTGAAAAAATTCCAGTTTAAAGTTACTCCCTACAGTTTACTATTCTTTAAAAAACTGTGGTATACATTTTTATATACGCATGGTCCTCCCTGAAGTTGAATTTAGGATAATATTTAGTAAGTTAGATTAATATTCCAACTTCAAACTTATTATCCAGCAAAGTAAAAATTCAAGTTTATATGTATATATGTGTGTGGTGTGTGAGTGTGTGTGCATGACTGTGACGTTAGCGTGTAGATCCCAAACAAGGATTCAGTAAATATTTGTCTTATTTCGTGTTTTCCAAAGTCAAATAGGTCTTTGCGTGTTATTTTATGTAAAATTTATGGAATAGGTCAAGCGACAAAACTTAAAATCTTGAGTTAACCATGATTTATAACACTCGAATTTCGGTTAGGTTACCTTTTAAAACACATAAGCAGAAGAATTTAAATATTTTAAATAATTGAACATAATGTCGAGAAAGAGAGAGAGAAATGTTACATAAAATTCATTTTAAATTCAAAAATTCGTAACTTTATATATTAATGATTTAAATATTTAAAATATATTTTATACAACTAGAGAAAATATTTATGTATATATATATTTTTTTTCTCTCTCTCTCTCTTTTTTTTCTATACTAAACTTGGTCCATTAGCAGAAAACTTTCTACTTGATTAATTTCAATCTTTAATTCTACTTTACCCACAGTTATATATGAAATAAAATAAAATAAACTTTAAAAAAAAATTAAAATAAACAAAATTAAAATAGATTATTTATCATGATTTAATTAAATAATTAATAAAAAAAAATTACATAATTATAATTTACAGGGAATTTTTTTAATTGGAAAAATTAGTATCAATAGGTTATTTTGGAGTATTAACCCAAAGATGCAGATGACATTTTATTACTTCCAATTATATTAATAAATTACTTTAATTTTTAATTAACATATTACACCAGAGAATAAGTTTAATTTACAAATTGTCAATTTACACAGATTTAAATTACTTAATGCTATTAAATGAATCATATTTTTTTTTTTTTT